TCTCTATATAGTCTATGCAATTTCTTTAATTCTCAATTTTTCTCTGTAAATAAACCTGTAATTACAGCATGTGGAAAGTTTAATTTGTGTAAAGAATTGTCTATTATTAAAATGTTATATGATAACTTAACAAGGCTTTTGGGATCTTTTCTGAAAAATGTTTGATTTCATGCTGCTCACAATCATTTTACAATCTATTAAGTATTCCAACCATGCATGAGTTCTCATTTAAAGAACAAATTGAGTGGCTACATTGTAAGTTGCAGTAATGACTGCAGGTAATAATAAACTATATCCATGTTTCCAAGATAATTAATATCACACAAGCATTTCTGTTGTATTGTCATCACACGCCTAAATATAGAGCATAAATATAGAATATAAATATAGAGCATAAATATAGAGCATAAATATAGAATATAAATATAGAACATAAATATAGAGCATAAATATAGAACATAAATATAGAACATAAATATAGAGCATAAATATAGAACATAAATATAGAATATAAATATAGAGCATAAATATAGAGCATAAATATAGAGCATAAATATAGAACATAAATATAGAATATAAATATAGAGCATAAATATAGAGCATAAATATAGAATATAAATATAGAGCATAAATATAGAATATAAATATAGAGCATAAATATAGAGCATAAATATAGAACATAAATATAGAACATAAATATAGAATATAAATATAGAACATAAATATAGAATATAAATATAGAGCATAAATATAGAGCATAAATATAGAATATAAATATAGAGCATAAATATAGAGCATAAATATAGAGCATAAATATAGAACATAAATATAGAATATAAATATAGAGCATAAATATAGAGCATAAATATAGAATATAAATATAGAACATAAATATAGAGCATAAATATAGAATATAAATACAGAGCATAAATATAGAACATAAATATAGAATATAAATATAGAGCATAAATATAGAGCATAAATATAGAACATAAATATAGAATATAAATATAGAGCATAAATATAGAGCATAAATATAGAATATAAATATAGAACATAAATATAGAGCATAAATATAGAATATAAATATAGAGCATAAATATAGAACATAAATATAGAACATAAATATAGAGCATAAATATAGAACATAAATATAGAGCATAAATATAGAGCATAAATATAGAATATAAATATAGAACATAAATATAGAGCATAAATATAGAATATAAATATAGAACATAAATATAGAATATAAATATAGAACATAAATATAGAGCATAAATATAGAACATAAATATAGAACATAAATATAGAACATAAATATAGAGCATAAATATAGAACATAAATATAGAACATAAATATAGAACATAAATATAGTAAATGTAAATTGTTTATAGTCTGTCAAACAGTGTGACTAATGACTGCAAGTATGGTAAATATACAGAAGGTTTATTTCATCAACAATAATAACAAAACAATAGAATGAATCATTTCAAAAACAAATTAAATAAAGTGCCTTTCTATATACATACAGTTTATACATTGCCGTTTGACACTACACACAGTTATTTGACACGAGTCACAAGATCAAATCAGTTCATCTGGGAACAGATCGGTGGACTCACTCTCCAAATTCTATATCAAATAAGGCTTGTTGAAAGCGAAGCCTCACCATGGCTTGCATTCGGGGTTCAAGACGATCTAATGTGGGCGCCAAGCTGAGGAGGTAGAGTTCATTTTCTGTATATTTTGTCAATCCTTGGTCTAATTTATTTAAAATTTGAAGTTGATATGAGGTCATTTCCCTTGGAGTTTCTTGAGGAGAGGACACTGGACGTGGTAGTTGTTGAAAGGCTCAGGGGAAGACTTGGTGAAGATGTCAGTGAGGGAGGCGGGTGATCGGTGGTGAGTGTGGATACAAGGCTTTCTTCTATTGAGTCCTCACTCTGGTCCTGTATGAAATTGAAAATAAAACCCAACACAGCACTTATTAGAACATTTAGTATTGAGCTATGAAGTGGCTGGTGAATTTGAATGTTTATCTGTCAGTGGCTGGTCTTTCAATTTTTAAAAGTACATTTCTAACCCTAGTCCGTACATACACACTGATTTCTGCAAGACACATTCCTAATAGCCTATAATTAGGCCTCCCTCTCTTTGCTCTGAACAAATGATTAAGAATAGCTGTGGCAGACTGATCAAAGTTGGAGGATTATAAGGCTCAAGGAAGGATAGGATGTCCTCTTCTTCACACCACCCTCAGCACCACCCCTTCTCCTGCTCTTCTCTCTTCTCCTTCTTGTATTTATCTCTCAGATAGTTCCATTTGTTACTGCATGATTTTAGCAGAAAGACCAGATGGACTCCTTTCTATGAATGTTGCTGTGTGGCAATAACAAGCTGTTCAACTGGTACTTTCCCGTTCTCCATCTTGGTTGGTGTCTGGGCACCGGTAACTAGGGATGTAGGTTACTAGGGAAGGAACACTCGACTCGTCCTGATTGGTCAGCTGACATCGCTTGACGTCACCCAGCGCTTTTCTGAAAAGTTGAAATAATTCAACTGAAAAAGGCGTTATCCTTTTTCCATAAGCATGTAAACTGTTATTCTGAAAGGTTGTATCAAAGACACTACAGAAGGGGGGGGGGGGGGGCTCTTTAAATACAGAGTTAGTTTGTGTGTCTTGTTCAAGTGGACTGACTCTTGATGTTCCATTTCGCCGTCAGCAGGGGGCGTAGTGCTGCTTTCTGTTGGCTGCTTCATGGACAGTCAGTGTGTGAAGGTTGTCCTTTAACACACACACACACACACACACACACACACACACACACACACACACACACACACACACACACACACACACACACACACACACACACACACACACACACACACACACACACACACACACACACACACACACACACACACACACACACACACACACACACACACACACACACACACACACACACACACACACACACACACACACACACACACACACACACACACACACACACACACACACACACACACACACACACAGCTCGCTGGAGGGATCTATGTCTAGGTTGACTTTGCTTACTGCCTCCGTGACCCGACCTCGGAGAAGTGGAAGAGAAGGATGATCCTGTGGAAGTCTGTTCCAGCATCTCGGACCGCAACATTGAAGAGTTTATTACACCAGCATTACATTTCAAATGTCAGGAGAGAGAGAAACCAAACTACTGGGACCAGTGTGGGAGAAGTTTTGGAGATGCTTCATCTTAGAAGTTTCACCTTCAGACTCACAGGGGAGAGAAACCATACAACTGTGACAGTGTGGGAAAGCTTTTTCACAACATTCTTACCTCAAGAGACACAGCATTGTTCACACTGGAGAGAAACCACACCACTGCAGACACGGTGAGAAAGCTTTCAGAACTCTGTCAGACCTTAGGGTACATGTGCGGATCCACACCGGAGTGAGACCAGACAGCTGTGAGGAGTGTTAGAGGAAATGTACTCCGCTGAAACAACCATCCACACTTAAGGTCTTTACTAATATATCATGATTGTATACACACTGGAGAGAAACCACACAAGTGCCAATACTGTGGGAAAACATCCACATCACCTGAAGCACTTAAAAACTGAAGAGAAACCATACAGCTGTGCAGCATGTGGGAAGACCTTCAGCTCTTCATCGGCATACTGCAGACATAAACTCATCCAAACGTGTCTTCCTGTGAGATCTTTGACACTGTCTGTAGTCACTTCCTGTGCCTGTCTGTAGTCACTTCCTGTGCCTGTCTGTAGTCACTTCCTGTGCCTGTCTGTAGTCACTTCCTGTGCCTGTCTGTAGTCATTTTGTGTGGTTTCAGTGTCGGTCCAGTTCCAAACAAAGACACGAGCAGGACAAATGCAAACGGCTGATTTATTCATCTGACTCACAGAAAGCTGTATTTCATGTGAAAGGATTTGAAATGTAGAACAGTTTATACAAACTCATGCAAAGCATCACTGCAACAGCCAAAGAAGAAGAAACTGAAGAAGAAGAAACAGAATTAACAGTAGAAGAAGAAAAAAACAAGTGAAGATGTGTTTCTGGTCAAATTGAAAACAAGCCAAAGACAAACGTGTCAAACACCTGCCGATGAGGAAATCATGCTGGGCTCTAGAGGCTGTGGTTTCCATGACAACAGCCCAGAGTCATTCAGTCTGTTCACACTTGTCAAACAAAACAGGAAGTCTGTTTTAAGTTTTGACGTGTGACGGTGAAAACGGCGTTGTTGTCCTCAAAGTTGCCAGACGTACGGTTAAAAGGGAAACCCCCCCCTCCCCCAACCCCCCCATGGTCTGACCTGTGACATCATCAGACCAGAAGTGATGTCAGAGTTACATCACGGTCCTCTGCAGTGTTTCCTAAGAGGAGATATGAGGCCGCGTGCAGCTCAGCTGTGCTCTGATTGGCCGATTTGTCCTTGTGTAGTGTCTCCCAGGTCTCTTTTGAAGAACTTTATTCTGCGTCACTTCCTCTTGAGTCTCTCTGTAGTCTTTTTTGTTGTTATTTTTGAGATAGGACAGCTGAAGAGAGACAGGAAATGTTGGGTGGACAGAGTGGGGGGATGACATGCAGCAAAGGGCAGAGGTCAGATTCACACCCACGCCGAGGAATATAGTTTCTGTACATTGGGCGCATGACAAAACCACTAGGCTATTGGCGCCCAAACTACAAACTGTAGTCCAAATGTCTCTCTTTGTAGTCCTTTGTGTCTCTTTGTAGACCTAATGTGTCTCTCTGTAGTCCTTTGTCTCTCTTTGTAGTCCTAATGTCTCTCTGTAGTCCTTTGTGTCTCTCTGTAGTCCTTTGTGTCTCTCTGTAGTCCTAATGTGTCTCTCTGTAGTCTTTTGTGTCTCTCTGTAGTCCTTTATGTCTCTTTGTAGTCCTTTGTGTCTCTCTGTAGTCCTAATGTCTCTCTGTAGTCCTTTGTAGTCTTTGTAGTCCTAATGTCTATTTGTAGTCCTAATGTGTCTCTCTGTAGTCCTTTGTGTCTCTTTGTAGTCCTAATATGTTTCTTTGTAGTCCTAATGTCTATTTGTAGTCCTAATGTGTCTCTCTGCAGTCCTTTGTCTCTCTTTGTAGTCCTTTGTCTCTCTTTGTAGTCCTAATGTCTCTCTGTAGTCCTTTGTGTCTCTCTGTAGTCCTTTGTCTCTTTGTAGTCCTAATGTCTATTTGTAGTCCTAATGTCTCTCTGTAGTCCTAATGTCTCTCTATAGTCCTTTGTGTCTCTCTATAGTCCTTTGTGTCTCTTTGTAGTCCTAATGTGTTTCTTTGTAGTCCTAATGTCTATTTGTAGTCCTAATGTGTCTCTCTGTAGTCCTAATGTCTATTTGTAGTCCTAATGTGTCTCTCTGTAGTCCTAATGTCTCTCTATAGTCCTTTGTGTCTCTCTGTAGTCCTTTGTCTCTTTGTCGTCCTAATGTCTCTCTGTAGTCCTAATGTCTCTCTGTAGTCCTTTGTGTCTCTCTGTAGTCCTAATGTCTCTCTGTAGTCCTAATGTCTCTCTATAGTCCTTTGTGTCTCTCTGTAGTCCTAATGTCTCTCTCTGTAGTCCTAATGTCTCTCTCTGTAGTCCTAATGTCTCTCTGTAGTCCTAATGTCTCTCTATAGTCCTTTGTGTCTCTCTGTAGTCCTAATGTCTCTCTCTGTAGTCCTAATGTCTCTCTGTAGTCCTAATGTCTCTCTATAGTCCTTTGTGTCTCTCTATAGTCCTTGGTGTCTCTTTGTAGTCCTAATGTCTCTCTGTAGTCCTTGGTGTCTCTTTGTAGTCCTAATGTCTCTCTGTAGTCCTAATGTCTCTCTATAGTCCTAATGTCTCTCTGTAGTCCTAATGTCTCTCTGTAGTCCTAATGTCTCTCTGTAGTCCTAATGTCTCTCTATAGTCCTTTGTGTCTCTCTATAGTCCTTGGTGTCTCTTTGTAGTCCTAATGTCTCTTTGTAGTCCTTTGTCTCTCTCTGTAGTCCTAATGTCTCTCTCTGTAGTCCTAATGTCTCTCTCTGTAGTCATAATGTCTCTCTATAGTCCTTGGTGTCTCTTTGTAGTCCTAATGTCTCTCTGTAGTCCTTGGTGTCTCTTTGTAGTCCTAATGTCTCTCTGTAGTCCTTGGTGTCTCTTTGTAGTCCTAATGTCTCTCTCTGTAGTCCTAATGTCTCTCTGTAGTCCTTGGTGTCTCTTTGTAGTCCTAATGTCTCTCTGTAGTCCTTGGTGTCTCTTTGTAGTCCTAATGTCTCTTTGTAGTCTTTTAGTGTCTCTTTGTGGTGAAATTGTCACGGTCTCAACTCTACAAAAACGTTTATATTTTCCTTTTGGGTTTGTTGGCCGTCTCATGAAACAGATGTTCTAACAATCGTTAACATTGAGATTGTATTGGTTTAAACACGAGGTATCCAAAGAAGCATCAATGATTACATCCTCAGTCTGAGGTCAGAGGTCAGAGGGGTTCCTTAAGACTCGACCTTACAGTCAGCACACACACAGTCACACACACACAGTCATACGGTCACATTAACAGTTCATGCTGTAATAAATAAAAACATCCATAGCATCTATAAAGTCCACATGAGAATATATATTTAGATTTCTATACGTTTGTAAATATGTGATTGTGTTTAAATAGATTTAAAGTACTTTGTTAGACTCATGTACACACCACCAACATCTCATTTCTGATTGTTCAGACCACCCTCAAACTGTCTCTCAGTCCTCACGCCACAACAGCAAAGGATTCTGGGAGGCAGAGAAACTGGTTTTACCCTCAGCTGTGTCTCTCAGGAGGGACGAGATGGAGGAGTGTGTCGTCAGATGATGTGGACAGACAGACAGACAGACAGACAGACAGACAGACAGACAGACAGACAGATATATAAAAATTCAAAGAGGAAGAGGAAATGAAGAAACAAGTTTGGGTGTGGGGTAAGGCACCCGTCTGTCTCTCCTCCGTCGCCCGTCTGTCTCTCCTCCTCCATCAACCGTCTGTCTCTCCTCCTCCGTCGCCCGTCTGTCTCTCCTCCTCCGTCGCCCGTCTGTCTTTCCTCCTCTGTCAACCGTCTGTCTCTCCTCCTCCGTCGCCCGTCTGTCTCTCCTCCTCCGTCAACCGTCTGTCTCTCTTCCTCCATCGCCCGTCTGTCTCTCCTCCTCTCCTCCTGGATGAAGTGAGTTAAATTTTTAGGTGGTCAGTCCTCTCCTCTCCAGCTCCCTCGTCTGCTTCAGCTCTTTGATCCTGCACACACACACACACACACACACACACACAACAGGATGCATTAAACACACACACACACACAACAAAAAGTGTGTGCGTGTGTGTGTGTGTGTATGTGCGTGTGCATGTGTGTGTGTGTGTGTGTGTGTGTGTGTGTCTGACCTGTGTCTGCAGCGTCTCAGGAACCTCATGATCTTCCTGGCTGCCTGGTCCTGTTTCTTCGTCAAGAACGACCCCCTGATGGAAAATCAACAACAATCATCACTCAACTCAAATTCTATAACGGAGGATTAGGGACACGTTAAAATTATTATTTTTTTTTAATTTCCGAGAATACAGTCGTAAATTTCCGAGAATAAAATCGTAAATTTCCGAGATTAAAGTCGTAAATTTCCGAGATTAAAGTCGTAAATGTACAAGATTAAAGTCGTAAATGTACAAGTTTAAAGTCGTAAATGTATGAGATCAAAGTCGTAAATGTACAAAATCAAAGTCGTAAATGTACAAGATCAAAGTCGTAAATGTACAAGATTAAAGTCGTAAATGTATGAGATCAAAGTCGTTAATGTACAAAATCAAAGTCGTAAATGTACAAGATCAAAGTCGTAAATGTACAAGATTAAAGTCGTAAATGTATGAGATCAAAGTCGTTAATGTACAAAATCAAAGTCGTAAATGTACAAGATCAAAGTCGTAAATGTACGAGATCAAAGTCGTTAATGTACGAGATCAAAGTCGTTAATGTACAAAATCAAAGTCGTAAATGTACAAGATCAAAGTCGTAAATGTACGAGATCAAAGTCGTAAATGTACGAGATCAAAGTCGTTAATGTACAAAATCAAAGTCGTAAATGTACAAGATCAAAGTCGTAAATGTACGAGATCAAAGTCGTAAATGTACGAGATCAAAGTCGTAAATGTACAAAATCAAAGTCGTAAATGTACAAGATCAAAGTCGTAAATGTACGAGATCAAAGTCGTAAATGTACGAGATCAAAGTCGTTAATGTACAAAATCAAAGTCGTAAATGTACAAGATCAAAGTCGTAAATGTACGAGATCAAAGTCGTAAATGTACGAGATCAAAGTCGTTAATGTACAAAATCAAAGTCGTAAATGTACAAGATCAAAGTCGTAAATGTACGAGATCAAAGTCGTAAATGTACGAGATCAAAGTCGTTAATGTACAAAATCAAAGTCGTAAATGTACAAGATCAAAGTCGTAAATGTACGAGATCAAAGTCGTAAATGTACGAGCTCAAAGTCGTAAATGTACGAGATCAAAGTCGTAAATGTACGAGATCAAAGTCGTTAATGTACAAAATCAAAGTCGTAAATGTACAAGATCAAAGTCGTAAATTTACGACTTTGATCTCGTAAATTTACGACTTTGATCTTGAAATAAAAAAAATAAAAAAAATGTGTGTGGCCCTAATCCTCTGTTGCAAATTCAGCCACAGCTATCTAGGAATGTGAAAGATTAAAGATTAAATGACATCATCTTAAATTACTAGATGGCTAAACTAACTGATGTGATTGGTTGGTGATTGGTTGGTGAGTTCTTACTTGATCTTGGGGTTGTGGCTGGCCGCTCCTCTCGGCGCCTGTTTCAGCCTCTCATACTCCTTGTAGCTGCGGTAGTACT